GGCACAAGTAAGAATTCTGTGGAACCTGAAAGCTTGCACACTTGTCAAATTATACAGGCATTTTATAAAAGGTATTTGGCTTACATGGTATTTCCTATGCTATGGGATCAGCACAGCAACTAACATAATTTCCTGAACTGCAGTCTTCTATACCCGAAGTCTGGAAGCCACACTTGCACACAGGCAATGTCAGAATCACAGAGTAAATCAGCTTAGGTGTCGTGAACTTCGCTCAAAGAAATCCTGGGGAGTCGAGCTATATCTCTCATACCGACAACTCGCTCACCCTCTACCAAACTAAAGCAGTTTTATTTGGCTAAAGCAAAAAAAAGGAGCATGCCAAGCACGACACTGTTCACCCCAATACTCACTACTCTATTGTCACACTGAGATCATGCAAAATTGATTCGTGTTATACTTTGGCTATGTTTTCACTGAAGCAGTAAACCTGTGTCTGAGGGGCACTACTTGAGACTGGCACATGTACTGGTCCTCAAAACACCCACACCCACACACACCCCACCCTGTTAAGGAAGAAACTAGGCTGGAACCCTTTTCCTGAACGTACTAATTTTCTGTGTGCAGGGAATCTCTTGTCTGGAGATGGAACATTCCAAAATTTGATTCCCCCATCTGACCTGGTATAAGGCAGCTTATGGAGTTCAGATTTTGTTTTTCTACCAGAAAGGACACAATCTGGCTTTTCGGCACACAAATTCTGGAAGTACAGGTGGCAAATACTTTATGATAATTCCCTAACACACCCACACACACCACACCCACACCCACATCCACAAATTCTGGAAGTACAGGTGGCAAATACTTTATGATAATTCCCTAACACACCCACACACACCACACACACACACACACACACACACACACACACACACACACACAAACACACTATGGTCTACGGGGTCATCCCATGCTGGAATGTGTATATATGTCTTTTGCAGGTATTTACTACAGATTACCTGAAGGAGCCGTATATACCCAAAGGAGCATCTCCACCCCTATCATTCAGCCCGCAAACTGAGTAGGGTTCACCGCCCTGGCTATACTCTCTGCACTGCCCTAAAAAAGAACAACAGTTTTTAAATAACTCCTGCTACTCTGAGCTGATGGTTCTCCTCTTCGAGTCTAAGGAATTGGCCACGATTCCTATCCCTTCTTGCGAGACCACCAAAAAGGAAAGATTAATTCCTGGTGCACAAAACAGGGTTGGCCTTACTTCAGGCAACGTATTTCTGAAGAGCTGCCATTTTTATTTATTTATTTATTTATTTATTTATTTATTGCCTCTACGTGAGGCTTTTTTTTTTTTTTAAAGCTGAAAAGAAATCTAGACCACAGCATCATTTTTAATTTTTTGGGCCTCAGGCAGGAAACCATCTAAGGCTGACACCAGTGTTGCAGGATCCCTTCTTTTCCCCTTCCACGGCTGGGGAATCTGGGAGCAAAGCTCGCTTGGAGGCAAACCACATTTTGCATCTTAAAGTGATTTCCTGCAAGACAACTACTAAAGGAGTGAAGGCTTGAGAGCATTTTGAATCATCCCTAAACTCTTTTGATCATTCTCCCCCACCCTACTGGGTCTTGACACCTCTCCTGGGAGATGCTGGCATTCCCTACTTCATTGTTTCCTGGACCCCCTCCCTGCCCAATCTCCTAAACCAATCTTGCTAAACCAATCTTGCTAAAGCACCACATAACTATTATTATTTTTTACCTTACACATAGATTGTTCCTGAAATTTTTTCCAGGATGTATTGATTGGGACTAATTAGCTGTACGAAAGACAGAAACTGCTGAGCTGACGTGGCCGTCTGTATGACTTTGTCAGAGCCAGTTAAAACTTAGGCGTAAATTAAGGATGCGGCTGTGCCGCACATTGCAACGGCGCATTTAATCTTCATCCTCTGCTGAAATGAAGCCTAAGTGGTCATGTCTGCATTTCCTCACACTGCATTCCCCTATTGCCCAGCCATTCACCTCCGCTGCCAACATTTAAACTGCAAAATTGAAGGCATCAAGGGATCAGACATTTTGTTTTGAAAACCTTGTAGAACACTGTATATTGATGGTGGCAATATAAATAATGATTTTTTAAACTGGTTTGAAATGTGTTTGGTTGTCATGCCTTAGAATCTTGAGAATTACGGTTTTGTGGGAATGCTGAATGCTTTTTTTGGGAGGTGTATGGGGTGTTTGGAGAGGGGTAGTACCTCTGGCTGGGTACACGTCATGCTCCTTCTGGACAGTTTGTTCACCATTGGTCCTGCCCTCAACTCTCACCTGCGGCTCCTAGGAGAGCTCAGCACGCAACAGCAGCCATACCTGGGAGCAGCCTCAACTGGCCAGCTAAACCAGGTGAGGATAGCCGATGGGTCTCTAACCCTAGCTGAGTTAGGGACTTCCCCTACATGCAAAAACAGGCTCTGGCGTATTAGACCAATAGTGGGTTCAATAGTCAAGAAGGCAGCTTCTGCACATGCTGTAGAAGTGAGGAGTAGATGTGGCTAGTCCACCTGGAAAGGGAGCCCATCTGGAAGAAGGAAAACTCCAGGCCTAAACCTCTGATGCCTCATGATATCTTACAGAGAAGGAGTGGAGTCCCTAAGGCAGTTGGATGGCGCCTTTTACGCCTCCTTCTGGCAACTCCTGCAGCCAAGCTGGTGCCAAGCGTATTGCTCTGCTTTCCTTTGGACCACATCAGCGAGGCTGAGAGGAGGGTCTTGTCGTCTGGGCAGTGCAGGATGTGAAAAACTGTCTCAAGATGTTGCGAGGTTTACAGAAGGATGGGTAGAGGTGCTTAACTCATTTATTACGAAACGTTCTTTTCTGATCCTATTGCCTTCCCCAAGCTTCTTTTTCCTTTTGTGTGTGTGTGGGGGGGGACAGCATGTGTGTGTGTGTGTGTGTGTGTGTGTGTGTGTAATATATATATGGCTGGTGGGGGAACAAGGTTAAGCTTCCCCTTCTCATCTGGCAGCCTCCCAAGGCTGTTTTCATTTTTTAAAAAATCTAGAGCAGTGATGCAGTAAGGTAATTTTAGATTCTGCACTTAATGGTCTTATTAGTGCAGCCTCCCACCCTCATCCCCGGATGGAAATGTGCATTGCTTCAAAATATAATAAGCCAGCCCTGCTGCTCATTCTGCAGAGTGGGGGCATGGACCTCTGTCCTAAAGTCCTGCCCTGATGGCAGCATGAAGACAAATATGCAAATACGCCATCTCCATGGGACCTTTCTTCAACCCTTCCACTTAAGCGTGGCCACTTACAAATTGCAAAAAAAAGAGGGGGGGGGACACAGATTTGCACAGAATTCACATGTGCCAATTTCTATTTATAGATGCAAATGTGGAGGTAAATGATATAATTTAAATGGGGATACAATACCTCTCTGTCCCCAATCTTCCCCACAGAGGCATGTCTGGCCCTTTCACTAGTTAGCTTTTGGTGAATGTGGAAAAACCCCAGTCTTTGCTCTGGCCTTTGACACCTAAGATATGTGTGTGTTTGGGGTGCACCCAATTCCTGTGACTGCAATTGATTTTAATTGTTTTTAATACTGAATTTTAAACTGCTGTGACCTGCTCAGGGAGAATTCTGCGCTTAGACAGGAAGAATCAGATGCACAAATATAAGATGGGGTAAACCTGGCTTACTGGCAATACATGTGGAAAAGGATCTAGGGGTCTTTATGGATGGCAAGCTTAACATGAGTTAACAGGGTGATGCAGCAGCAAAAAAAACCTAGTGCTATTCTAGGCTGCATCAACAGAAGCATAGTGTCCAGATCAAGAGAAGTAATAGTACCAATCTAATCTACCTTGGTCAGACCACACCTGGAATACTGTGTCCAGTTCTGGGTTCCACAATTTAAGAAGGATGTTGACAAGCTGGAACGTGTGCAGAGGAGGGCAACCAAGGTGACCAAGGGTCCGGAAACCAGGCCTTATGAAGAATAGTTGAAGGAGGTGGGTATGTTTAGCCTGGCAAAGAGGAGACTGAGAGGAGAGATGATAGCCACCTTCAAGTATCTTAAGGGCTATCACATGGAAGAGGGAGCAAGCTCGTTTTCTCCTGCTCTGGAGGGCCCAGGTCTCAAACCAATGGCTTCAAGTTACAAGAAAGGAGATTTCGACTAAACATCAGGAAGACCTTTATGACAGTAAGGGCTGTTTGACAGTGGATTGGACTTGGAAGCTGGAGGTTTTTAAGCAGGGGTTGCATGGCCATCTGTCTTTGATGCTTTAGCTGCATTGCAGGGGGTTGGACTAGATGACCCTTGTGGTCCCTTCCAACTCCACAATTCTACGATTCTAGGCTCAGGTGGTAATTATTGAGGGGCTACTCCAAGGCACCAGCTGGCCTCCCTTCTTATGGTTCTTCAGCTTTAAACTGGACTTGGACTGGATAATCCTTCAAACAGAGGACTCCTTCCAACGAAATTGGGGCCTTTGTAATGTAGGACCCATGGGCACCCTACTCTGGGTATTGTCAGGCTTTTTTCCAGGGTGGCAGGAGGCAAAGGAAAACACTGAAACAGAGGACAGGCTACATTTTCACACCGAGAGAGAGAGAGAGACCAGCCCCTGTATATTTTGCCTCTTAGCTTAGGTGCTAGGAACCTACTCTTTTTAAAAAGGGTGCGAAGATTATGTCCAGTCTGGAAGGGCAACGTTCCCCCTTTTCTCACTTGTGGACACCCATGCACCCCGTTTTAAATTCCAGTTCACACTTCCAGATGCTGCAGAAACTTCCTGGAGCCCCCCTCCTCCATGCTTGAGGAGGCTAATGTGAGAAACAGCTCATAGAAACAGGAGATCTGGTGCAAGGAAGAGAGGGCAAAAGCCAAAGAGACCTCCCCAATCCCCTCCCCGAACCTGTGCACACCGTACAGAAAAAAATACAGAGAAAAGGGTGGGAAAGCGCATGCAATTTTCCTTTAAACGAAAGCGTTGGGTGTGGGTAAAAATTGGAAGTACTGACCTTAAAGCTCCAGTAGTTTGGTTGCTAACAAACAAACAAAAAAGGAAAAGAAAAAAGAACAAAACAAAAAAAAAACAGAACAAAAAAATACCATTAAGATTTCTGTTTTGAGCAAACAGTTGACTTTAAACTGCGTGAGGCGTTACTGTTTTTAAGTTGGTTTGTTTAAAGTCCCCTCCCAATGGTGTTTTTTTATATAAAGAAAAGAAAAGAAAAAGAAACAAAACAAAAAAGCAATGGATTTGCTAAAATGAATAGGTAAATTAGGTTGGGTGTTCTGGAGGAAGGCTTTCAAACAGGTAGAGATGCAGTGGTACCAAAGTGAGACTTCACTGCAAGTGGATTCCTCCGCCCTTCACACACACACACACACACACACACACACGTCAAGGATCTTTTAAAGGAAGGTTGGGGGCAATATGCATACCAATAAAAAAAGTGCTTCATCTTTTAAAAAAAGAATGAAGCAAATATTATGAAAATTAGGAAACGTGATACAGAAGCAGTTGCTCGTTCTGCATAATTTCATTCCACTGCCCAAAAAGTTAAGACTCCTCAAAGAAGGTCTGCACCAGGTGGCTGGGCTGTGTCCATCATGGTCATAAAATCATCTCTTTGTAGCAAGACAGGGTCAGCCCCTGCCCTGTAAGAACACACCCTAAGCAGATTTAAGAGTGAAATCCACAAAATGTGTGCTAAGTACGTGTCATTTTTGGTTCTATACTTATGTTCACCCCAGCTAATAGCGTAAGATCCTGTCCCACCACCTAATGCAGGGTTGGGAACCTCAGACCCAGGTGGGCAAGACCTCTCTCCCTGGCCCCTGGGACTCTCCCAGGCCACACACCCTCTCCCCAGGCCATGCCTGCTTTGCACTCTCTGGGCTGGCTCAGTTCACACCAACAGCTGTCACACGAGCTCTCACGCAATCAATCAGGGAGGGAGGCATTATAAAGCTATGGCGGCGACAACAAATCCAACCAACATCAAGCACCTTGGGCATCCCATAATTCAGTTGGTTAGAGTGTGGTGCTGGTAACGACAAGGTTGCAGGTTTGAAACCCACCCCCCTCCATGGGATAGCTGCATATTCCTGTGTGGCTTGACTACATGATCCTCAGCATCCCTCCCAACTCTACAATTCTATAATTACCGTGGGAGAAATCCCCCACACTCCCCATGGAAAACAATGGGGCTTCAAAGTGCTTCGCTTTGCCCGGATGGTGCCCAAGATCACCAAATCTCATGGGCCTGGGTGGGAAAGGAGCTCTCCTGCTGATTGCCAGTGGCATCGCAGACACAACAGGCGCCTGTGACATTTGTGCAACCTCATTCAACACAGCAATCACAGCGGACGAACCCTCTGGGTAAAGAACAGCATTTCCCCCAATACAGCACACGCACAGAGCACTGTGAAAATGCCACATTGGTCTATGAGAAACACAACCAGAGAGTGGGGGAGAGAAAGCTATCAGAATTATGCTCTACAACAGTAGACTGGGGCAACTCTGGAAGCGGAGGTACCTAACGATTTCATTCTCTTTACAAGTCAAACTGTGGGCAAGCATTCTAACATGCCTTGGCTAAAATTTGGTAGGGTCTTCAGAAGCACAATAGAATTGATTTGCGAGCTGGATCATACCCAAATGCCACTAACAGCTTGCCCCTAGCTTAGTGCATGAACTGAAGCAAACCTTTTCCTTCCTATCTGGTCGCCAACTGTGCAAGTATGTGGCACTTGCAGAGTTCCATAAGTTCTCTGCCCCAAAGGAGCTTACAGTCCAAAATTTGATAAAAGGGAAAACAAAAAAGGGTGCTGAGGAATGTGAGAATCAAGTGAGCAAATGAGAACATGCTGTTGTCTGCACGGCGCACGTGTGTCTCAGAATGTGCCTCTATAGCTGCAAGGTGAGCTATTTACCATTTGTCCTGATTTGCTTACAGGGAGCAAAGAGAGATTCTACCTTTCCCATCGTTATTAACACAATAAGTCTGGTCTCCTGGGGAAGCGGGCTTCTTGTCCAAGACTTCCCAATCAAGTGTCATTGCTGAATGTGAATTTGTTAGTTATGAGATTGGATCCCACTTGAAAATAGTAATAGCCTGGAAGCCCTAGAACAAAAGTGATGGTTTTGCCTTATTGTGGCTTTGTGCTAGAAGCCAAGAACCAGGGCAGAAATGTCCCCAAGTGCTCTGAGTTTGTAGGACTTGGAAGCCTGCACAGATTTCTGCCTTAGACCGAGCTTTGCAAATGATGGTTTCTGATTAACTGATTGTCACATATGTAAAAGAGAGAGAGGAAGTGGTGGTGGTAGGGTGGTAGGAAGGTACCAAGAGCCTCTGGTGGCCTCTCCTGCAAAAACAGGTTGATTCAACAAAGATTCAAAACCTTTCTGGTTGATAAATGACAACTGGCCCAAATAAAGAGTTCATCCCACATGTTGTATGTGGCTCTAGGACCATAACAGCAGACTTTGACGTCTCCTAGAGAATACCAGATTTACTGTGTGATCCTATGGTTATCCACTCAGAAGTAAGTCATCCTAGTATGTATGGGTAAGATTGCAGGGGAATTCTACAGCAGGCAAAGGAAAAGGCCAGCCCTGCACATCACCAAACCCCTCCTAAACTATGGAGTGATCTATTCAGAAGGGAAAAAATCATGTTGTACAACAATGACTGAAGACGGCACCCCTTCAAAGGACAGGTGGATAGCTGCTTGTTTGTATATCCATGAAAAAGACTCTCCTGCATGTAGAACTGACCAAGGTTCAACAAATCGAGTTACTGGGGCACTAGAAGGGCATATGCTTCTAGGCTATTTTAAGACATGTATTGTCAAATGGCAGTTTGCTTACATCTCTTGTGTTCGTATTCTTTGGCTTATGCTGTATGGAGCTGTCAATGGAGCGTATTTCCTTGCAGGCAGGTATGTCACTGGGAAAGATAGTGATTTGTTTGCACCCTGGACATGACAGCACTCTATTTGCACTCTATGCACTGAATTACTGAAGGTGGGAGCATTCTTGCATGTGTGGGGGAAATCATGGACTCGCCCACATTGACAACAGCCAAACTAAGGGTAAGTCCATACAGCATTCCTGACTTGAAGCAAAATATGGGCTGAGGAGAGGCAGTTCTGCTTTGGCATTGGTGAGGACTGGGTGTCTGAACCCTGGTTTAAGAATATTTGGCTAGGCTTAACATGCTTGTTATTTGCCTCTTGGAAAAAATGTTGATCTCTGCAGTGGAACTCAGCTATGCCCCCACAGCTATCCAGTGCATACCCTTCAGTGCAGCTATTGGCATGGGAAATCAATTGCATTGCAGCAGGAGAGGGTGGTGATGACATCAGCAGAATATTTTTCTTTTTCAAAGGGAAAGCAGGAAGGAGAGGCACAATTAATATCACTCTGTTTGGATGGGAGAATCAAAGGGAGATAAGGGCATGTGAGTGGATTTGAAATGACAGCCTTATTAGCACCGATAAAAGCAAGGCAAACGGTGTGGAAAGGACGATATGAAGAATGACAAAGGCTGAGGAGTGGATTGCAACATGGAATAAAGTACAGCCACATGATTAAAGAACCACAGGCCAGCTAAGGTTGGCTTTTGGGCAGACTGAGCCAGAGCTATGGCCCAAAATCTGTCTCCGGTGCAACGACTTAAGGTCATGTATCACTGAAAGCTAAGAGAGAGAGAGAGAGAGAGAGAGAGAGAGAGAGAGAGAAGAGAGAGAAGAGACGGAGAGCTTTTGAGCGCGTGCTAAATGCCATTCTTAAAAAGTGGGGATCTGCAACAAAATGTTGCTTCCGATCAGGGTTCCAGAACTCCATCCTTCCTCTCCAACTTTCTATTCCAGCCCTAGTCAGTCAGAATTCATGGCCACTGAGAATGCTCAGTCCTCATTGGACAAGTTATTTCCCCACCCCACCCCTTCCCTCTTTGGAGGGTTTTTGTTGTTGATGATCTAAATGTTCTTTTGCACCCCTGCAGATTTGGGGGCTGTACCAAGCCTGCTGAAACTTCCCTCTTATGCATGAATGGTTTGGTTCTGGCTATCTTAAGGACCCACACTCTGCTAATAAGTTGGCTTAAATTAGTGCATGTAAAATAGAAGCTGTCATGCTGGGTAAGAGCATCTTGTTGTCTCCAATGGTGACCAGCCAGACACTCCACAGAAACCCATTAGTGAGCAAGATGGTGCTGGATATCCCTGTGTTGTTTTGGCCTCGAAGGTTTGGGAAGTAAGTAGACCCCCCACCTCAGAATAAAGGAGAAGCCATTCCCTCTGTGGGGGCTCCAGATCACCTGCCAAAACAGCTATTGGCCAAAATTTTGGCTTACCTTTTTGTAAGCACGGGAACGCTGTCCAGAAAACCACTTGCAAAGGCCATGTTAAGGCTCCAGCAGATTTCCTGCACATGTCCATACACTTTGATCTGACAGTTCTCCATTTAGAAAACCAGACATGCAAAGCCTGGAGTGGATCAGCTTGGATATTAACCCCCCTGCCCTACACGCCTGCTCTAGAAAGGAGAGTTTGAGGACCCTCGACATTTCAAAAAGGTGTTTTCTTCTTTGCAGAGAGCCTGGAGGTCACTCCCCACTCCTGCCACAGAATCCGACAGCATGAGTGCAGATGGTTTGGAATCCTTTCTTTGCTCATCAGTGCTGCACTGTAAGCTTCTCAGGTATCCACAATCTGCTCTCAAATTCTGGAGGGGAATCTGCATCTCAGAAAATGGCATCCCGGTTCAGTGGGAACCTGATGTGACAGCAGGTGCAGTTCCCTGATAAGGCAGAGCAGTCAGGTTTCTCGCTCTGTAGCTTCCCACCCTAGCAGTTCCCTGCTCCGTTCTCCCTGGTTTCCATTCAGCAACAGAGAGAGCCATGGGAACTGTGACCAGGAAGTGGCAAAGCTGATCAAATTTCAAGCACAGCCATGACAACAAAGACCCAGCAGAAAGAGGCTGAATGCAAAATTTCAAGGCGGCCGGCCTTTCCTAGCTGTGCCTTTTAAG